TGCAGAGCAGCTCAGGAACATCTGTTAGCATTTCACTGGGCACAGTCAGCATAACTGCAATAGCACCATCTGGAAAATACAGGGAGACAAGTTATAAACCTGTTTTTTAATATGAACTGGTATTGAATGGCACCCTTTGCTAAGCCCAGGGAGCAACTCCAGGAGGGCCTGCTAATTCAAGACCACTGTCGACCTTCTGCATCCACCCTGGAGGAGGGGAAAAGGCTGACAAACCCTCTTCTGTGCCGCTTTTGTTTTATTGTATTAGGCTCATAAAGGCACTTTCAGGGCCCATCTTTCTTCAGGAGAAAGGGAAAGCAATGGGGAGACGGGGAAGAGGAGAACGTGGCAAAAAAGGCAGGCGGAGCTCTAGCTCCGTTTGTTTTCAGTGTCTGTTGATTAATAGGTTTTAAGGTGAATGGCGAGTTCTTGTTCCTCCTCCGTTATTCGTGGAGAAGGAAGGGGAGAGGGCTCTGGGGGTCCAGGGAGCAAGGGTCTGATCAGTCCCTCTGGCTGCGGGTGGTGGGGGGTGCCCAGGGGACTGCAGCCCGTCCCTGCCTGGGGAGCAGGACTTGAGGCTTTAAGGACATGGAAAAGGTGTCCCCAGGTCAGGGAAGGGGGTCCCTCCCTGGCTGTGGTCACAGGGGCTGTTCCAGGCTGTGGAGGGGCAGGAGTCTCCCCCCAGCCCTTCCTCCAGCCAAAGGTTTGGCCGCCTCGATGCTGCAATGGCACGATGGCTTGTTTTCAGACTGGGTGGCTTGTTTTTGCAGACTTGCTTTTCCTAACACCACGCTGTCCCGGTGAGGACAAATCCTCTGGCCTCTCTGGCATGTTTTTCTCTGTCTTGAGTTGATACCATGTTTTTATTACCAAAGCCAAACAAGCTATGAATTTGCAAACAGAAATCGCAGTAACAAACTCTTCCTGTTTAAAGGTTGGTTTCTCTTTGTGTGCTCAACAATGCAACGTTTCATCTCGTGCAAGTCTTATGTTGCTTTCAGAGACTTGGGAACTATTGATTTATACAGCATGTATTAACTTCTTCAATAAATGGGGAGTATTCATCAGTGGGGTGTATTAAATTGGGCTGTATACGCATAGAAGCATCTTTCATCCTGTTAATGAAATGTCCTTACCATGCAACAAAGACTAATACACAGCAATTTATACACACTATCCCCTGCAGTTTAAATCTGAAGTTCAGATATTTTTTTTTGTTCCCTAAAGGCACCTATCAGAACTTAGGCTAAATGGATCGCAGTATCCCTCGCAAACATATAACAGTCCAAAATTTGTTGTGTGTTTTTTTTTTTTTTTTTTTTTTTTTTTTTTTTTTTTTTTTTTTTTTCCCCATTCCAGAGCTCCATTATTGTTTAAAGTCATTCGTGTTTAAGCACTCCCAGAAGCATTTCGAATTCATATAGAGAGATTTAGTAGTTGAGTCCCTATGGGGACAATTTCCTCTGGTTTGCTTCAGGTGGGGGTTATCAAGAAAAGCAAACTTCTGTTGTTTTTTTGCAATTCTTTACCGTGCCCTCTCACCCGGCATGTGAGACCCCAGCTTTCAGTGGAGAGGAGTGATTTATCAGCAGATGACTTGGTACTTTGTAGATGCTGGGATTTCTCTCTAGAAATCTCCACTTGTTCCCGTCCTATTACCACATGCCCTGATGCTAATCTGTGCGTACCCCTTTCTGGGCCTGACACAGCCATAAATGGAGCTCTGCAACTTGCCAGAGAAATTCCTGCATCTCACAATGGCTTTTAGCTTAAAACTGCCCTTGATAAAGCGCTCGCAAATGTATGTTGGAGAAGGGCCTTTTGCAGAGGGATGGCTGAGGTCATCTAATAGGTGTCTCCTATTGATGGCTTCTGTGGTTTACCTTTCATTGCCAGTGGATGGGGTTAGGACCACACTTGTTACTCAGGCAGAGCTCCCATTGACTTCAAAGGAAGATGCATGTGCGGGATTAATCCTGCTCTTTCCCAGCTAGTCCTTTCTTTTTTCTCTTTTCCAAGGAAGCTTGGTTAACTTCAGGAATGCTGCTTTTAAAGAGCAGCTCATTTGGCTCATTATGCATGATTAGCTTGGCTTCCAAATTGCACGTGTTATTCTGAGCAGACTTAGGGTCCCTTTTCCCAGTGTGTGATAAACAGTGTGAAACAGAACACAAACCTGGCCTGGGGTGGTGATGCAGATGCAGACTGATTTGCAGAGACCATGGATCACTCCTCTGTCCTGGAGAGCATGGTTTTGAGCACGTAGATCACAGTTTCCCCTTTTGCCCCGGTACATTCTCCTTACACCCCTGCCCCAGTATCATTAGGGTGGCAAAAAAGTGTCCTATCCCTGCATCCAGGACCTTTATATGAATTGCCTGAGTGCAGAGCAGTCACCTAAATAAAAATTACTTACCTGGGGAAAAGTTTGCAGGGTAAGGTTCAAATTCTTGGTTGTTGATGTTTCAACTTTTTTTTCCCTTTTGCTTTTTATTTTTCTCTGAGAGGTGTTAAGCAAAACATATAATAATTTAGCCCTTGTGCTGTTATGTGGAGGTGTTGTGGGGGGTCTTGGTATATCAAAGCGGTGGGTGGTAGTTTCCCACAGTTTACATGTAACCCCCTATAGTATGTCTGGCTTTGGTGACACAGGCATGTAACTCCAGCTTTCCTCTCACATTGTTTCTTGTTTGTCGGCTTAAGTCTGACCCTTTAATGTTATTCTGTCACTTAATTATTTTTTTAACTAACCAGTTCCAGTTTCTGTGGAAATAAGCTCTCCATGGAAGACAGCCCTCGGTGGCTGTCAGGATCTGGGTGAGAGTTGTTTGCAGTGATGTGAAGGTAGCCTTGGGAGAGCTGCAGCAGCTACCAGCCATGCTGTGTGCCACCTGATAGCAAGAGTTCACACAGTTCTTGGCCAGCAGAAATCCCTCTTACTGGGAATGATTGCTTTTTGTGAACAAAGTCAAGTGGTTGTTTGGTAGATAATGTCATGTGTTGTCGAATAGATAGATGCCTGCTATTTTGCATGGTGTGTAATAAGATTTGTTACGTGAAGCCCTTGCCAGACCTTTCGGTTACTTTCAGCCTGCTTTGGTTGGTTGACTTGGAAGAGAACAGATTTTGGGTTAGAGCATCTCCTTGGGCTTTTTGAATTAAGGGGCTAAATCCCCATAGCTCCTGGTGCAAAACCATTATGGGTCTGTGCGCTCCTTGGTTGTACAAGTGGCAGAAGACCTGACCTACAATCCAGCCAAAAAAATATGCTTTAATTCATAGCGTTGGCTGTCACGGCTGCGCTCTGTCCTGCGTCTGGGTCTCTTGACGTGGGACTCTCCAGTGCTGGGAGTGCAGTATTAGAGGGGAATTGTTCCATGGAAGGGCTGCAGAAAGCAATGCACAGGGTAAAAGTTGTGGGAAACATCAGCACTGCTCTTTGGCTTGCTTCTCTTGGATGCACACTTTTTATGCAGGTTATTCAAGGGGTGAGTCAAATAGCTCCGTATGGCTGGGGCTGGAGGAGCCAAAGCTGAACCTTGGCTTGACCAAAGCACGATGGAGGGACTTCTTGTTTATTTGGGGGAAGGCTGATGTTTCTTTTCCTGATAGCTCTCTTCCCTCTTCCTTTCCCCCACTCTAGAAACACATTCTCGAAGAATAACTGAATTATTTTTGAAATGCTTTTAAGGGAAGCTCGCAGCGTTCGAACCAAGATCAGATAGTAACTGGTCCAAAGTGGCACGGCAGGGGGGTGCGTTTTGGGGTGCTGGGGAGCGAGCGGTGGGGTCGGAGCCATCCCTGGGCAGGAGGGTGAGCAGGAGAGCACTGGCAGACCCTGAACGGCAGCGGCGCTATCGGGGGCCGCCGTGGTATCACTACTTTATTTTAATGTGATTCCTTTTACTTGATGTTAATGCAAGTTGTTCCTTACTTAAAGTAATAAAAGGAAATGAAGACACATTCTAAAATGAAACCTGACTCTAATCCATTCATCATCTAATACCAGCCTCTTTATCTTTGCTGGTACCTAATCTGGTTAAATGTCCCTGTTGTAGGATTTTAGTGAAAATCCTCTATGGGGAATAGGGTTTTTTGCAATTGGATTACTCGCAGTAAATGGTCCAGCAGTTCGCTTGTTTCAGCTTAATTTTTCCTTTGTGATCTTGTAAGGGTAAGTTACAGTTCAGCCTGCCTTTTCCTTTCATTCATTCACTCCTCTTTTTTTTTTTATATTGTTGTTAAGAAAAATTTTTTTTTTTCCCCCCAGAGCTAGGAATGTGACAGGGAAAACCTCATGATATCTACGTGATTATTCCCCCCACAAGCGTGTTAATTTCAATGGCTTTATCTGGGGTTTTTTGCCATTATTTATATAGCTGAATATTTTAGTAGCCTAATTCATCAGTATCCAGTTTCCATTTATTAGCGCTCTCTGATGAATTGATAATTAATCAGCGCTTCTAAAATATATATATATAAAATATGCAGGTGATCGCTTGTCAGCTTAATGCTTGCTGATGAAGGGAATACTCTAGCACTACAAAGGCTTTTTATCTGGAGTATTTGCAATGAGCAGTAAAATGCAGAACTGAAAGTGAGGACAGGAAGGGGAAAGGAAAAGACCTACAGGTCAGTGAGCATTTGGGTCTCGTGCTAATTAAATGGGGGACTCTGTCAGCCCCTCGCTGAGGAGTCTGCCTGCATCTTCGAGGTGAGGCACAAGATTATAAAAGAAAAAGGAAAAATTTTAAAGAATTGCTGTTGCTCCGTACAGGAGCACGACAGGTCAAAAAGATTAAAGAAACTCAAGAGCAGGGAAGGTGTGTGAGGAGGTTTTAAGCAAGAGGGTGGGAAAACTGCCAGGGTGACGCTGAGAAGGGATCCAGAAAAGTCTGAGGACCGTGTTGAAATCTCAAATTTGTCTATGTCATGCCTCGTGCTGCAGTGGGGGTTACCCGCCAGGCCTCTAACGCCATCGACCTGTTTTCTCTTGACAGTCTAACAAAGTGCCAGTTGTGCAGCACCCACACCATGTACACCCTCTTACGCCGCTTATCACGTACAGCAATGAGCACTTCACACCGGGAAACCCTCCTCCACACTTACCAGCCGACGTAGATCCCAAAACAGGTAGGTGGGAAATAGTTTGGGGGGGCTTTTTTTGAGATTGGGTGGGTGGATCTTTCCATTTTGCGTATTAGGGGGAAAGAGTGTGGGAGGAAGGATTTCCCATGCTGGAGCACCAAAGGGGGCATGTAAAATGTCAAACACACGCAAGAACACGGCCAAAATAATTTCTTTTTAAGCCAATTAGGCTTCAGAAGGAAACCTACTGGGTGAATTTTCATAAAGCTCCGGCAGGGTGACACCAGAGTTGCATGTGTGGGGTCGTTCGCAAGTGTGTTTCTTTGCAAGCGTGATACCCCATCCAGTCATTGGATCTACCGAGTGCTTGGTTTGCATGCACGACCCAGAGAGTTAAACATGTACGTTCTGTGATCTGCACTTACAAAATTGCAGCTGGAATTTTAAAGGTGGTGGGTCATGACCGGTTTCAAAATGAACCTCTTTTAATTCCCCAAATCCCATTGTTTCTGTGTCAGGAGTTCAGCCATTTTTCTCCTATAATGTTGAATTTTCATCCGCTCTAACTACTTAGCTCCAGCTCTATACTTGCAACCCTTTTCCCCAATGTAAGTCTACCCAACTCTCGGTTCAGCCTGAAGGGCAGTCTACTTGAATATAGAGCACCGTGTAAAACCCTGACTAGATTTATTGCTGTTATAGAATAGAATTTACATGTTATTCTAACTTTTTAAGAGTCCCTGTTTAACCTGAGGGCCCAGAGAAGTCAAACAGTGTCAATCTTCCTTCTTCGGGCTGCACTGAGATCCTAGTGACAGTGGTTTTGTTTTTGTTAATCCAAATCCCAGCTAGTTAATTGGAAAATACATCAGAAACTGAATTCATGTCAAAGGAGTCACTCTGTGTTGGCCCTAATATGTGCAGATAATTTATCTAAAGCCCAGCCCTTCACTGAGGCTGTGCATTAGCTGGTTTTCATTCCTTGTGCTTCAGTTGGGGACCCACTTTTAATTGTGTTTAATGCTAACTTCACATGGCTTAAAAGGAATCCATCTCACCATCCCTGGATATTGCAAGTGAATGGCGTAGTCAACCTCTCATTTAAATAACGGTAGTACAGGGAATAGCTTTTAAATGGTTATCGTAAAACATATGATTAACGTCTGTAGACTGTTTACTTTTCTTCTGTGAACATTCTTTCAAGTGTGCAAATAGCTCGCCGGATGGTTAAAGCCCAGTTAATCTGTTTGGGTTTTGTAATGGAGAAAAAGCAATGTCTGCATGAAAATGTCACACAAGGAGATTTAATTTAGAGATTAAAAGCTTCCTGAGTGACTTAAAAAAATAGTTTTTAGCCATGAATACAGTACCCCTTCCTTTTAATGGTCTCTGTTTTAATTTTGTTTCTGCTGTGTAATTGTGCTCTGGCTTGTTAATTGAAAGACCCGATCTTGTAACCCTTATTCCTCTTGAGTAATTCCTACTTGCTCTTAAGGTAAGGAGCGTTAAGATTTAAGGCTTGCATCTGGAGCTGGTTTCTGGTCTCCAAGTAGGAACTGCACCAATTTCAGAAGAAAGATGGGCTCCCTCTCCTCCCCTGCACACCTTCAGCTTCTGCCCCTGTTTTACCAAGCACTTCCAGGGGTTCTCCCCTCCCCTCCTAGGTTTTGGAAAGGTTTCCTAGGTTTGCTCAAAAGCAAACATCATTTGCAATTATAATGACTTTGTAACTCATTTTGGAGGTTACTTTGGAATAACACCATGCTGTAGACTATGCCATCAAAGTATGGGGAGGGCTTGGGCTCTTTTGGTGACTTTGAGACTAACTATGAATAACTATGAAGTCAATATAGGGACCATCTTTCTGTTGAGCATTTAAGACAGCACCTAGCACAGCGTCACACCAAAACTATAGCTGAGACTCCTCAATTCTCATCCTAAACAACAAAATAATTATCCCTGATTGGAGAGGTGACCGAAGGAGTGAATCACATCAGTTTTTTGGGTTGAATCTCATTTATAAAACAAGACTGTGAAACAGCCATTGGAAATCCAAAGTGAAGTCACGAGTATTTTAATAAAAATTAATAGATGGCAATTTAGAAACATAGGTGCTTTTTCCTTATATTCTATTTATTTCCATGTCTCAATACTAATGCTGTTTTATGTTCTCTTCCATAGGAATTCCAAGGCCTCCACATCCTCCAGATATATCTCCTTATTATCCGTTATCACCGGGCACTGTAGGACAAATCCCCCATCCGCTAGGATGGTTAGTACCACAGTAAGGAGTTCCATTTTTTTATTTTCCTTTTTCTTTTTTGATGTGTAAAATTTATGTTAAAAATTGTGTGTGCATGTGTGTGCATTGAGATAAGTCTGTTTGCCAACTGCCACTTCATTGAGTCGTTCCAAATTTACCTACCTTATGAAGATTTAATTAAAACTTAAGCCAGGTCATGTGGTCTTAAACAAACATGAACAGTTGGACACAGCTTTGCATGTCATCTCAACCAGCTGATGGCTTGTGAAACATCAATTTTTAAACTCTTCTGCAGAAACGTCCTTGTCTTGTTAGTGCCCTTATGCTGCACCATTTGGTTTTTTCTCAGATTTGGTTTTCTGGGGGCTCAGGGTGATTCTTATGGACTCTTTTTTACCAGGGTCATAAATGTGCAATTTTAAATTTCATTGGCCTTCCCCCTTGCAACCCCTTTCATTTTTCTTGTGAAACAGTAGAGCTTTACATCAGCCATGAGCAGCACTTCTGGTCGAGATGTGACTGAGCAGTTGGCATCTGAGGAATGGAATTTTCTTGCAAACAAGAAAGAGAAATTAGTTTACTTTAAAACTGGCTAAGTGAAAAGCTGTGGAAAGTTAGTTTTAGCTTTTGTTTTCTTTTGAGTTCCTTGTATCCCTCTTGCAGAGCTTAGTTGGGTATGAGGTTCCCTCTGGTAATTGAGTCCTTATTTTTGGTTTGTTTTTTGGTTGTTTTTTTTTTATGTTGCCGTCTCTGCAATGGGTTTATAATGCACTTAAGCACTGCCTAGGCCTTTTTTACAGTATATTTGATTTAAATACTTATAAAATACATTTGTATTGCTGGGTACAACGGTTCTCTGCATTATAAATCAAGACTATTACCCTATTTTTCTCACATAACAGGCCTCATCAATTTTAGGGAGATCGTATTTCTTTAGAAATGAATTTGCCTGAAGCTAGAAATAGTTTGTTCCTGCTTGAGGTTGTTTGGCCAGCTGTGCTAAAATACCTCTTCACAAGTTTGCCCTCCGTAAGAAAGTGGAGTTCACAGCCCACAGGAGAAGAGGGGGTCCCCACGCACCCCTGGGTCTTGGGCAGGGAGAGGGATTGGCCTCAGAGGCTTTGGGGGCCTTTCTCAAGCACAGAAAGGTTGGATGCAGGAGAGCTGGAGCTCAGGCCTCAGCAGGCGGCTACTGGCCACTTTGCAGGCTGCCCCTCCTCTTGGGGTGGTCATGCAATGTCCTTGGGTACGAGGCCCTCCTGTTCAGGGTGAAGCATGTCTGTTAGGTGTCTACGGAAGGCTCTTTCTCCAGAAGAGCACAGCATAAGCAGAGGAAAAAAAACAGTGTTGCTGCCTAAATTCCTCCTCGTTTGTGGTGATTTACTTTTTACATAGGACACTCTGGTAGAACGCATGGCAGCTCCTTTTCTTCTTTCTTGCTTGCAGAGCCTACCTGCAGTATAGCCAGCTCATGCTCCTCTGGAGCAACTGCTTAGCTCACTTGCACACTAACAGCCTCAGCATTTAAAACAAATATACTCAGCTAATGCCAAAAGTCAGTACCAATAAATACATGAGAGCCTAGGGAAGAAATTCTTGGCTGTCGTTGGCCTGTGCCTCATTGCTCATCTGTGTCTCAGGGCGTTACATCTTTATGTGTGCAGATACAAGTTTGCCCTTGTTGAACCTCGTGCCATGGCTGCCAAACCCACATGGGTGTTGCCGTGCGTGCCAGTTTCGTCAGGGAGGTGCCAATGGCCACCTTTGTCACAGGAAGACTCTGTCATTGCTGCTGGTTTATAATAAGTCAACAGCAATGGTGTTCTTATGTACCCACAGCTCCTACAGCTTTTCTGAGTGGTTTTTGTTGAGGGGTGATACCATCACATTTGCTTTTGCTCTAGGAAAGTAGCGTCACCAACTTTGCAGAAGTAACCCAAGGTTCTTATTTCCCCTCTCGTTGCCATTTGTCCTTCACCATCAGCTTCCCAACCCATCTGTCCTCAGCTGGCCTGTGTGTTTCTAGCATAGTACCCTCCCAGAAAGCATCCTGCCCAGTCAGATGATATATTTGAAGGACAGATGAAAAGAACTAGCCAGCATAGACAAACCTCAATCAGAAAAAGTTGTGTGTCTTTCATGAGGATGCTGTTTTGCATGTTGCTGTATTTTTTAATTATTGTAATGAGGTGTGATTGTCTATTGGTTACCCACAATACTTCTTGGGGACTCTCCCCCGGTAACTCTTGTCAACACTTGTTAATCTGACAAAAGGCTACAAATTAAGCTCTGTTAATTTAATGTTTTCTCACCGAGATCTAAATACCGAAAGAGGCCCAAAGCGCAACTGAAGTCCTTTGATTCACTGTACTTTATTTTGGTATAAATTTACATTCATTATTGTTTTCCTTTGGATGTGTAGCCCTCAATTAGTGTGATGGCTCCATTAAAGCAAGCGAGACTTCGCCTTTAATTATTACAACAAAACACCTAGTTTCAGCTTGGGGAGAGGGTCTCTATTGACATAAGCAGAGGTTATAAAATTTAATTAGCCATTCCTATCAGATTTATGGCATTCAAATTGTTCTGTGTTTCTTTCCTTTGATCCTTGCTGTACAATCCCCAAGATTTTTGTTCTGATCAAATGAGAATAAAGCTTACTGTGCAGAGAGAAGTTTTTTGTTGGTTTTTTTTTTTTTTAAAAAAACCCTTTTTTCTTTCTCTTATTCTCTCTTTCCCTTCTTTTTTGCCAGGCAAGGTCAGCCAGTGTACCCAATCACGACAGGGGGTTTCCGCCACCCTTACCCAACAGCTCTGACCGTCAATGCTTCCATGTCAAGGTGAGTTTAAATGCTGATGTCCTGAATCAAGAGCAAATGTAATTCCTCCTGCCACCCTCTTAGAGGAGGGCATTCCATCTAGGAAGAGTATTTCTGAAAGCATTTCAGTTAAACAGTCATCCTTAGATTTTTTGGGGGGGGTGAAGGAGGGGAAGACTAGGGGTACCTTCCCATTTGAGGAGAAAAAGGTGTCCTAGTGCTGTCATTGAGCTTTGTTTTGGAGGGAGACGTGGGAAGCCATCTATAAAAGCCAAACTAAATGAAAAAGCTGGGAGAATGTGATGTTGAAAAGGCAAGAAGGAGAAGTCGTGACACCTTTTGCTTTCCTGGTGGCTGTCACCCAGAGCAGCACTCTGTGTGCGGGAGGGGAGGCTGGGGAGAGAGGAGGGCTGCTCTTCAAGCAGAGTTGGGAGGAAGGTTATTGCACTATGTTTTCCCCTACCAAAGCTCCAAACACTGATAGTCAACATAAAAGGGCCTGCCTGACCCTCTAAAGCTTTAGAAGTATATATTTCTCCCCCTCCCTACCTCCAATTAATTCCATCTAATTTTCCAGGGGCTGCTAGTTTTATTTACAAACTGGTTGGCAGCACTATGTTTAAGTAATCACTAATTGCTCCTAATGATAGTTTTATTTTCTGTTCATCTGATTTTCAGTCTGGTTAATTAAATCGGTGGAGGTTTAGACTTTCCTGATGGGCTGAAACAGCTAATCCATTTTGATGATGGCACATAATTAAATTAGCATGCATTACATAGCAAAGTTCCACGTCTCTTCCCTGCTCTGTCCCTTCCTCTCTGTCTCTGTGGTCTAATATGTGAAGGTTGGTGTGTAGAGGATTTAAGGAGGAAAAGATTGTGGGGAGGAACACGCCTCCTTGAAAAATGGGAACCTGTAACTCGTGAGTGAATGGGTAGGGAAATAGTGTGTTGTATGCTTTAGGTAAGTAGAGTAAAAGCAAAAAATTAAAATTGGCCCGCGTTGCTCCAGCAAATAGAAAGACAACTGGAAAAATAAACTTTTTAAACAAAATTAATAGACACAGCACGGGGGAGAAGAAATCCTGGGTTGGGGAGAGTGCTGCAAATTTAAACAATGATTCCCTCCCTCCATTTAATCTGTTTTAATATCCATAAAAGACTTGCAGGCATGGTGTGAGGCAAAGTAGAGCTTGATTTAGTTTAATTATTATTAGAGAGGCTAGTCATTTGAGGGAGGGGGGAGATGTGGGAGGGGGGAAGCTATATTCCCAAGATAGGCTTTATGAAAGGTATCTAGTTAAAAAGAGTACACAGCAAATTAAATACATTATTGTGGTAATGGGACGACAGAAGTAGAGGTCTATTATACTTATGGCAGTTATAGGAAATGTAGGCTCCTTGCCCTGTTCTAGCACATCCTTTGATATTCATTCCATTCAGCAGCAGGGCCAGGACTTCTCAGAATTAAGTGATGGGTCATTATACTTTAAACACCATGGAGAAGCCTAGATTGGCAATTAAACAGCACTTGCTGACACTCGCTTGTGCCACCCTGTGACCCCCTTTAGATTGAGTTGTTGGAGCTCGGGGCCCTCAGCCTGCTAAATTGGTAGCAGGCACTTCTCCTGACGAGGGCTGGCTCTGAAATCCGCCGGCTTCAAAGGGAGCAAGATCATGTATAAACCATAATGTGGGTGCACCGTGGCTCAAAAAATAAGGCAGGAATAGATGAAATGTTACAAGTGCAAGGGGAAAATGAGAGAATAATGACAAATCTAATGCAACTCAAAGCAGAATTGTTGCACAGAAAAATGCATCCCACTGCTTGTGCATAAAATCAAGGCAGGCAGATGACATCCAGTTAACAGAAACATGTCAACAGTGAAGTAAAGTGAGAGTGAGTAAGAGAGAAGCCCCTGAGACAGCCAGGAACAAAAAATTAGTTGTCCTTAACAAGTTAAGACTCATCATTATATTCTGGCTTGGAGCCATAAAAGGAGACAGTGGTGTATAATGAGCTGCTTAGAATTTTTAGGGTGTTTATTGCAATTCATGGAATACTTGTCTAGAGAAAAAAAATACGGGGGGATGTCTTAGGCGAAGGTGAGGGGTGTGCATATACACACACAGCCTTTCTTTTTCTTTCTGACACGTGCCCACACGCGCACACATGCTCAGACGCACACGCAGCCAGATGAATAGATTTTAGATGTTTATCCTTTGTTTCAGCCCAGAAACTTCTCTCCTGGTTTTCCCGTACATGGGAACACCCTCTGGGCAGACTGGGCTCTGATACGTGGTTCGATGCGTGTTTCCTCATGCCCGGCCGTATCAGCTGGAGTGCCAGAGCTCAGCCATGGGACAGCCCTTGTCCTGAGTAGCCAGAGTGGTTGGGAGATGGGGCTGACGTGCCCGGGGATGCCCACACTTGCCTGGAGACACGCTCCTGTTCATGGCTGGCCTCTGGGCAACAGCCCCGCAGAGCCCTGGTACAAGCCTGGGGTTGTTGTGTTAGTGCTGCCCAAATGTCGAAGTCAGGGCAGACCCCATCATCTCCCAAGATCACATCCACATGGATGTAAAACCCTGGAAAACCAGGACCTTCCTTTAAAAGTGGATCCCATCTTTGCCTGTGTTATGGTATAGACTTTCGGAGGATAGAATGGTTCCCAACCCTGAATATTCCCTAAGCTTAATTACAGTTCATTAGTTAGAGTGTGCTTATGAATAGTTTATAAAAGGTTAATGGGTGACTAACAGTGGTTTTCATAAATGGCTTAGACTATTAAGATAGTGTCTTCAGGTTGTTTTAACCATTTGCAACTCTTTTCTCTGCTTGTAGCACCACCCCACTCACTTTGTATGCATGCAACACGCTTATAACATCTCTTGATCCTTCATTACCCCTCTATAATAAGCTCTTAATGTAAATTGAGACAGGGTTAACTGACTGATGGGCAAACGGTGGACCCACTATGAAAAAACAACTGCTGTGAGAGGAAATCAGGAAATAATTTAAGAGAATTACACCAGACAAACACTGCACAGCAGTTAAGTGGTGGCAGTGGAAAATACCTTCTGTAATTGAAATTTCAGGGGAAATTCACTTTTGCTGAATGTAATTACTGAAGTTGGAGTGTAGCCAGGAACTTAAAAATTAACACTTTCCCCCTACTTGTATTGCCATGTGAGCGTATGTCTACATGGAAATAAATAGGCAGTTGGACTTTGGGCCAAACCACCACCCAACCCAGTGAAGTCCATGGGATTGTGCAAGTGACTTTGGGTTCTGGAGCATGTTTTTATAGATCCAAACATAGGAAGGGGTGTGTAAATTTGTTAGGTAGCCTCATGTCTTGGAGGAGTGATTCAGTGTGAAATAACGAGTGGCCATTGGTAACAGAAACACAACTTCCTTGGAGAAATTGCCACCCTGAAAATAACTACTGAGCTGCGGCTGCCTGTTCTTGAAGGCTGCTGTGTCTCTGAAGTTTAGAGCTCAGTGGGTAAAATCTCAGCCCAGCTGAAGTCAGTGGAGGCTTTGCCATCCTCCCGCATTTCACACAACATGCATATATAGGCTTCTCCTGCTCCACTGCCCTTCCTCCCCATCTAGTCACTCTCCAATGTGCAAATACTTTATTTCTCTTAAACCACAATTGAGAAAACATTTTTCCCATAATTAGGAGGGGAAGTTACTTTTTTTGCAGATTTTCTTCACCCTCCTCAATTTTTTTAGTAGCTGGATGTACTTAAATCTTCATCAAAAGTAAATGAATAAAATAACCCCCCATCTTTTGTTGAATTTGTTTCCTTTGAACATCCTGACCATACAACAATCCACCATGTAGACAGAGCTCATTTTGCAGTGTGTTTTAATTTTTGGCCAGATCCCCACCTAAGAAGCCAGTCTATGACCCAGTTACCGTTGCCACATCACGGGATCCTCTTCAGAAGCTTAGCAAGCACCATCTTTTGTCCCCATTAACTCCAGCTGTAATCAGTCTTTTGTGATATTTGGAAGCCCTTCTCCAGTGATGAGTCTAATCTTACCCAGGTCCACTCTCATACCTTCTCTCCTTGTCATGGCTATCCTGTCACGCTACCACTGCACCAGCTTTCTTGTTGGTATCTCCTCACTGTCCTTCTTGCTTTTCATCTTCATCCTTCATTGTCCCATTGTGACAGGCTCTCGTTCCAGTTTGAACCCAGCTAGCCTCAGCAGCATAGTCCTCTGTTGACCATGGGGTCTTCCCTAGGACAGATAGTAATTCGATAGGATGCATGTCACCTTGTTATCACTATGCTTATACCACTTTCAGCGAGGTCAGGGTTTTGCCATAGGTTTTAGTTTCACCCATGTTTGTAAGTTATTTTTTTTTACGGAAAGCTCTTACTGTCAGCTTTTATTGTTTGCATTGTACTGTGGCTGAAGAAGGCCCCAGGCACTGTGTGAACAAACTTTAAGTATGTCCAATCAAAATACAAACACACTCAAAAATAGAGAGAGGGAGAGCAGAATAAAATGATACAAAGGCCCAGTTTGTGTCTTGCTGATGGTGAGGCAATTCTGTGGTGTAAGTGGGACCAAGACATTGGTCTCCTTGCAGCCTTGCCATTGTTTTCTCTTCTGAGCGACCATGCACTGGAGCATTTCCCCAAACGTGCATTTCTCTCCCAGCTACTTCTGTCAGAGAGCAGGGAAGGCATTTTGACAATTGTGTCAGGTTTGTGTCCATGGGTTTTTAGCAGAGGTAGAAGTCCATGGAGGAATGACTGTTTTCCTGCCTGTTCTCCTCTTCCCCTGGCATCACACCCTCCTCCTTTCCTTCTCTCCATGCCTTTGGGAGGAGCTGCAGTTCTCTGCAGTTTGAACAATTTCACATTCTCCCAGTGCTTCCCACCACTGCCTTCAAAGACAAAATACTTCTGTCTAATGATCCTGAGTACTATCAGTTGATAGACAAAGATCCTCAGAGCTCAGAGTGGACAGTACATCTTGTTCATGAAAGTACTACTGTGTCATCTTGTGAATGTAGGGAATGTCTAGGCAGTTCAGGGGCGTGGGGGTTAAGCTCAGTAATGGAATTTATAAGACAGACAAATAAAGAAATCCCATTATAATTCTGTCACTTTTGCACAGTCTACTTATCCGTGGTATATCAATCCACTTTAAATCCCATTTGATAGAAAAAAAATCACTGCATGCTGATGACAGAAGAAAAAAAATCTTTATCCAATTGCATGTTCAATATTCTCGGGGTATTTTATTTGGACAAAATGGGTTCCAAATCTGGGGTGAGAGCAGGGATTTGCTGTGATTAAAAAAAAAAACAAAACACCTTGTCATTTGCTGTCGTCACTTTAGCCTTGGATTTTTGGGAAAGTTAATTTTGAAGCAAATTTTTAGGCTAGAGCACATTTCCTGGAAACCTGTTGACTTCAGTGGAGGTTCCCTAAGGGAAAGGCAGTCAGTCGTAGTGTGGTTTCCTTATTCACTGCAAAACCTTTCTGAGACTGTTGGGAAATAATGATAAGAAGTCAATCCTGCTTTTGAGAAGTTTGTTCATTGCGGTTAAAAAGTAAAAAGTCTGAATGATTGTGCCATGTTTGTGCTGTGGCCCCGACCAAGCAATTAGATTCATGCAGAAGGATTGCACATCCTTCTGAATCCAGTTGCAGGACCGGGGCCTGTCCATGTATATGACCATAAACCATAAAGCTGACAACATTTTTTCTCTTTAGAAAGGCTAGACCATTATTTTGCATGAATTTAAGCCTCTCTAGATTACCTTAGTGGGTTAAAATTTACTTAATTCCACAATCTTCCCACCTTCTGTTAAAGCAATGTGGCTTAGAAATTTATTAGAGACAAATAAATATTTTCTTTTGCTCCATCAACAAAATGTAGCTAATGAGGCATCTATAAGGATTATCAAAAATGCACCTAGATTGTGTTTGCATTAATATTTTATTTTGCTGTCAATACGCAACAAAAGATGTCAGCCCAAATTCACAACATGATTCAGAACTATAAAAATTGATTCCTTGGTTACCACAGATAATTCCTTAGCAAAGAAATGGACTGGTGGATTTTCTTGCAGGTAGCTGAAATTCCACTTTCATCAAAGTTCATCCAGTTGAATTTGCCTTTTGTTAAAGATGTTAAAAATCATGATGTCTCATGTCAGTAATGATAATGAAGGGGAAGATTGGCTTTAATGACATTAGAAGAGTCATTATGTTTAATTTATTGCTAATTAATGCTGCCAGCTTTCATATGCTTTGTCTAGCTGTCATGTGCTTGTTATGTGCTTTTTTTTTTTTTTTTTTAATGTGTGTACACATCCCTCCCCATTCATTCATTTTTATTCTGACGATTTACACAGCTTTCTCTCCTCTAGGTTTCCTCCACACATGGTCCCGCCACACCATAGTTTACATACAACTGGAATCCCTCATCCGGCCATAGTCACACCAACAGTCAAACAGGAATCTTCCCAGAGCGACGTCGGCTCACTCCACAGCTCGTAAGTTGTTGCTTCCCATGTTTTATTATTAGAACACCCAAAGCATCACCTATGCATGTTTGGCTTTTTAAAAGGGTTGGATTTTTAGGAATGTTTTTCTGCTGTAAAATATTTTTTTAAATTGTTTTTTCTCTTCTAATTGACTTGAATGTGGTTTAGCTGCCAAAGTGTGTCAAAATAATGGTGACAGTCTTTCAGAGTCATTCTGTGACATAAACAAGTACTTATTAATTTCACTCATTTTAACGGAAGTGGAGTTTTCTTGAGCAATACTCAAACACAGTGCCTGGTTTGAGGCTGTGGCTATCTGGTTTGCTACTGGATACACAGCAGGAGACAATAAATCACAGCTTAAATGGCTTGTTCAGAGCTGCAGAGAGAGCTGGTACCACGTCTAGGTTTGAATCAAGGAGAGCCCTGGTCTACCTCTGCCCCTAGTCCTTCTGCTGCTTCTTGCCTTTAGTTTCAGGAGTGAAGCAGAAAGACAGCATTTCGGTTCCCAGTGAAGATAGGGTGTAATTTATTTCCTTCACCATCACGCTCACAAGTGCTCCCAATGGGCTCGCTTTCCTGAGTGTCCATGTCTTTCCAAAGTTCTTCTAGGGGCTGAGAGGGTAGTTGGTGATATTGTGTAAATATGAGAGAGATTTTCTTATAATGCTCTTAAAACTGTTCTCATGCAGCAGCCAGGGTGAAGGCCCTAGAATAATCTTCTGGGCCTTTCTAGATTCTTAATTTCTAAGGATTAATACTAGAGGGATTGAGGGGATTCATTTAAAAAATTTCACAAAGAGTTATCAGTGTGAGGTTTATGTCTGTTGTCTCTCTACCCTTCAGAAAACATCAGGACTCCAAAAAAGAAGAAGAGAAAAAGAAGCCACACATAAAGAAACCTCTTAATGCATTTATGTTGTATATGAAGGAAATGAGAGCAAAAGTTGTAGCAGAATGCACATTGAAAGAGAGCGCAGCCATCAACCAAATCCTCGGTCGAAGGGTAGGTAACCAGGGAGAAGCACAAGCAGGGACTGAAACTTGGTAGGATTAACACCTTCTGAATCATTGTGTTTCCCTGATGTTTTGGTAATGGGTAGGGAGGTTACTAAACCAAAGGCCTTGGTTTGGTGTCTGGTTTTTGTTTTTTGCAGATGCTTTTTGACAGTGGGGTCATTGGTGGGGAAGAGGGAGTGAGTTAATATCAGTGTTATTTCCACGACCTGTAGATGGAAAAATCTCAGATTCTTATTTTGTCCTAAGTCAGGCAGAAAAGTAAATGGAGAAGGAAAAAGCCTTTGTGTGCAGTACCAGTATCAACACCTGTGAGAGCCAGGAGAGGAGAGGGGGTGCCAGTGGGGAAAGGAGTGGGAGCCTTCTGTAAATCTGGCTCAGGACCAGTGGCTCAGCTTCTGGACCCTCTCCCCTGCTCTTTGTTTTTGTTTAGTTTTCTTAATTCTCCTCTCTCATCAAGAGACAAAGGGGATGAGTGAAGGTAAATTACAAGTTGTGACTCAGTTGAGTTTACTGGAGTTATAATCTGGAGTTATAAATAAAATATGAATGGCAGCATGCCAGATCATCTGTTTTTATCTCTTTTTTTATGAAAATCAACTCTTGATGTATTTATATATAAGTAATATACACAGCTGTTAACGTGCTTTAAAAAAACAAAACACTTGTGCTTTTTATTTTGTCTTTTTCTCTTTTCTCAGTGGCACGCGTTATCCAGAGAAGAACAAGCGAAATACTATGAACTAGCAAGAAAGGAACGACAGCTTCATATGCAGCTGTACCCGGGCTGGTCCGCACGGGATAACTATGTAGGTTCCTATGTAGGTGGAAATTTTTTTAGTAGTAGAGCTTGTAGAAATGTGTATGTGACCTGCTGAACTACGACCACACATTGCACACAAGCACTACTTGGAAAGCGTGCCTCAGGATCCCAATCTGGTAACAACAACGGACGCTTCCCTCTGGGATACTAAAACTATTGGGGATAATTCCCAGCCCTCCACTTGGAAGGGGCTTCCTGGCTGGGACTAGTAAAAGGTTAGAATTGGGGGCATGACAGTAGAGCTCCGTGAAGAAACTCTTGCCTTCACTTTTACCAGCATCTGGAAATGCTGTTTGGCTTGCTGGTCATTTTAAATTTTATTTTTTAAATCAAATTAAAAATCCCCCTAGTATGGCTCCTCTCCTTTCCACCAAAAAGATTAATAATTAGTGTCTTGTGCTTATCTGTGTGAGAGTATAGTGGAAAGTGGAAGAATGACTTATCCTAGCTTCAGAGAAGGACTGGCAAAACCAAAAGCGTGACTTGTTTGAAAGTCTTACTCTCAAGTGGGGTTAAATGAATTATTCCACGCTCTACTGTTGTGTATTTCAAGTATGTTTTGCTTTTTCATGGCCATGTTATCCTTTTTTTTTTTTCCTCCCCTTCTCATTTTTTAAAAAGCGTTTTAGAGTTTGTGATCAATTCATGGAGGTTTTTAAGATTGAATCCCTCCCTCTGACTTCCAGAAAGCCTGTTTTTTAGCTAAAAGAGGTAGAATTTTCTGTCTATTAAAAATGTAAGGCCAGCATTGTAACCACTTACTAGTAGTATATAACTCCTCTTTCCATGAAGGGTAAGTGGTGCATCTGGTAGTAAGTGTTTGCAAGCCCAAACTCATAAATTCTTGACAGATTTGTGGACTGGGGGGAGCTCTAAACCCTCTTTAATAGGACTGTAGCAGCATCTTGATTATTTTTTTAAAAATTTACATAAAAATCACCTAAAACTTTAAAGATCTCTAACTCTGGAAGAAACCTTGCTCCCTACTTTCCAGGTAGACTTCCCTGCAGGTTTGGCGACCAGCAGCTGTAAGGTGGATGTCAGGGCAGTTATGTATAGTGATAGACATTTTGTTTTTGTTGAAGCCTGTCTCTTCCATCATCGTCATCATCATTGCCTGTTTAAGCATAAATATCCTACTTTGCCGTAAATCACATAGATTGTGTGCTTTGTATATGGCCATGTTTACCTCTATGAGATTCTATTTTTTTCGCGTGGATGGGAAGAAGCCAGTTCAGAGTCTGCAGCTCTCTGTGCTCTTCTACTGCTTCAGCAGTGGAGAATACACATGCTCACTTATTTAACTTATGCACTTAAGGACATTTTCTTCAAATCCTTCTTGTTCTTTCTTGATCATCCTTTTTGTTGGGTTCTGCCTCACTCCTTCCTTTGGTCGCCTTTGGTTGCAGGTGTAGCTGTGGGTGCTCCTCAGAGGAGACCTCGTTAAGCCTGATGAGGCACTGCTCCTGCTTAAACACATTTTCCCTTTCTTTCTGGCGTAGTCTGGCCTGAGACTGTCAGAGCACAGGCTGCAAGTAGTCCCTCAGCACTGTGCGGTACCGTCTTCTTGGGTGTTCAAAAGGGAGTGTAGGCTCCACTGAGGTTTCAGGGATGCTCATTCCGCGCAGTGACTGTGCCACCGACAGATGGGCATGTACAAAGCCTTCAGTGTTTAGGACCTTTTACTTTTGTCCTCACCATGTGAGCACTGAGAAACCCTTTCTTCTTGAGCTAAAAAGGACAGGATGAGAAAGCCAGCGCTTTCCCAGCGGCTTGATGCTGTACCCCCAAGTGACCTTCAGGGGGAACCTTCCTGCCTGAGGAGAGCGCAGTAGCTTTGCATCACACCATTGCATCATCCGCAGGATTTATTTATTTCTCCTCTCCTGGTCCATTCAGAGCTCCCTGAGTTCCCCTCCTCCCGCAGCGTTTCATAGGGTCTCAAGCCCTTCACGCATCTGGAAGGGAAGCACTTTTGGGCTGCTTGAAATGGTTAAATCGTTAGGGACTTCACATCAGGCACGAGGATGGGGCCAGCTGTAGCCCAGGTCTTCAGAAATAGGAGCAGCACAGTCAAGAAACGCAGCTTTCAGCCTGCTCTTACAGAAGAGAAGAGGATTCAGGGAATCCCTTGAGGCTTGTTGGTGCCACAAGGCACATTTGCTCTTCCTGAGATCTAATATAAGAAGTTAAGTGGCGCTGAGTGCTGGACTCAGAAGTACGTAAGGGTCTATTCACCTTGCCCGCTGCTTGTCTGGAAAATTAGTACCAAAGAACTCTTCAGTGCTGTCAAAACCCGTGTTGGTTTGGCTCTGCAGAAGAGCTGCCAAAACAGTGAGTGAGTATTTACATCCACATCTACTTGTAGCCTAAGAGTGTGTCTAGTACAATGACAGAACATGTTACAGACCACCTGCTCAAGTCTTAGGAAGACAATCTGAGGCAAGGGCCAAACAGTGTCTTCTGCAGAGCACTTGAAATTTGACTGCTGCCATAATTCTTTTCTGAAGTCCGTGTATTAATTTAGCTACGTAATCAGATATCTTCTCGTAGCACAGAAATTGAACAAGCAAGCCAGGTGATCCTACTCCCTCTTTCCTTTGAAAAGGGTGCAAAAGAAGTTAGTGGAACCTCTGTCAGTTCTTTGTAAGGAACTGTTCTTGAAGTGAGTGTTGAAAAGAAACTGGAAATGCCTGGTCCCTGGCTGACATTCCTGTGTATCAGGCATTTTTAACAGATTGCTCCCTAAAGGGTTATAGTACTTTAATACCTGGCTTGAAGAGTTTGTAGAGGGCAGGTGACTCCTGACCTCAGTTCTTGTGTGAAGCAGTTAAAAGGTCTCAAATTGGAATAGCCCTTGAATTCCCAAATGTACTGCAAAAATTAAGCAAATTTGCTTCAAGATGCAGTCTGTTAATTATGCAAGTGGCCTCCTTGAAATTAAATAAAAATGAGGTTTATGGTCCTGAGGCAATTGTCTGGTTTCAGTTACATTGTTATAAACCTGGGAAAAAATCACCAAGTTTCTCAGAGTTACTGTCAATCTAGATCAATATAGATGGAGCCGTCTGAGCCTCTTGTATCTTTATGTGATATGTGGACTTCAAGATACCACATTTTTCCCTATTTTATTCTCAGGGAGCTTTAGGAGCAATGCTTGTCTGTCTTGTCTGCCTGTCATGTTAGACTGATGGCTGCTGCAGCAATTGACTCAGAGCAACAACTTTCCGTATCCCCCAGAATGACCTCCGAGGTGTGGGAGATGATTTCTCAGCAGCATCCAGGCCACAGGATTATGTGCATGTCGTTTAAAAAATCCTTTAAAATTGACGGTGCACGCAGCTTTTTCCATCACCAGAAGGCTCTCACGAACAAGACTGTGCTTGTCACAGCCTGTACGTCAGGGTGGCAGTTTATAACCCTGAGCAAGCAGCGGGGAATGAGTACAGAAGCCCCGTGCCAGAAAGCTGGCTTTTGGGGTAGAAAAATATGACAACAACAAGAAATCAAAATCCGACATTCACTCTGGGGCAATTTCTTACTAATATGTTCCAGGGAATGTATCATAGTGATCGTCCCAAGTGTTATAGTGGATGTTCCAAGCTGAAACCCAACCGTAAGCATTTAGCTGGGAGCCAGACCAACCTACTCAGAAAGACGTCCACCATGTGGGAGAACTTCTTGGCTTCCCCTTCAAAAGTACTGTGAGATTTCTTCTTCCAAGAGATGTTTGTACCCTTTTGACCACAAGGGACTGCTGGCCTGGTGTATTTTCACCAGCTTCTCATAGTACCACATCTTCAAAAGCAGGGATCTCTGTGCTGTTCACAGCTGACATTGCTGGCCCAAAAGTCATTGCTTTTAGCAATGGGAGCTGTGAAAATGAAATTACTCCGTCCCCTACACTGGCCTTTTTGTACTGCTCTGCAAACCCTGTAGCTCAGTGTTAGAAAAGTTTCATTCAAAAATAGCTTTTCTCTTTAGAGACATGCTTATGACTTTATAACTCTTCTACTGGAAAACAATCATTGGGTTTCCACAGAAGTTGGGCTCCTGGTCCTGTCTCCTCTCACACTGCTGGAGGGGAGTGGAAAAAGGGCCTTTCTCCCTCTAGTCAGAAACCATAACAAATTGCATCATCTTGTGGGTCAGTGTTTGGAAAAGAGACACAGTTTAGCAAAACATTACTGAAGATTTTTTTCTTGTAATAGACCAAAATGTGGGAAGGGTCTTAGTTATATCTGGATTTTTTTTTCTCTTCCTGGCTTTGTTTCCTAAGTTGTGAGTGCACTTATGAACCTGCAGATTAGGTTTTGCTCATTACTGTGACTTCGTCTGCTTTGATGCTCAGTTTTGGGTGCTGAGGAACTCTAGGGGCTCAATCTGACCTCACTCATGGACTCCCCCACCTAGAATCTCCACTGTTGCCCCTTCTTTCCCACCCCACAGAAACATGACCAGGAATGATTTTTTTGAAGCATACAATTGGCAATGTTTCTGTCATGATGGTGATCTTATCCCAAAATAAGCATCTTGCAAGTTGTTTTTCCCCTTCCCCAGCTTCTTATGGCTTTGGTGGGTGTTGGTGTTGGGGGGGGCTGCAGTGAGGCTGTAGGAGAAGTCATGGGGCAGGCAGGCAGAGCCATCCCTGGGGTGCAGCATCCCTTTGGGTCCCCACAAACCTCCCAGTGTCCCCCACAAACTTCACTGTCCTCCCTGGGGGGGCTTCCCACACTGGCCACGGCCCCATCGTTTGGTGCCGTCTTGGAAGGAGACGTGTTTGGGGATTTATTATTAATTATTTTTATTATTATTATTTTTAATCCTTCTCATTTGTGTATGTTTCCTGCAGGGAAAGAAGAAGAAGAGGAAAAGGGATAAGCAGCCAGGCGAGACCAACGGTAAGTAAAAACAAGTCTCAGTCTCTCTCTTAGTGGCAGTGTGGCAGTCCTGGTGTGACACTCCTGGGTTCGGGGGAGGTGGGTACGAGTCTCCTGGCCTCACGGGGAGCCGGTCCCTTATATTAGACAGACTTTTTTTTGTTGTTGTTTGGTTTTGTTTTTTTTTTTTTTTTTTTTTTTTTTTTTTTTTTTTTTTTTTTAATGCACTCTAATTATTTACGTGTTATTGCCCTTCTAAAACTAGTAACCAAGCCATTGCATGTGAGCCTCTCGTGATGTTAGCTCAATTTGTGCACAGTTAATTGCCAGAGCCTTTAACAGCAGAGCCGTAGCCGTAATGCCTATGCCAGCGTTTATAAAGTTGTCCGCTTATTTTGCGCATATGTGTGTGCGTGTACGTACGTATGTATGTGTTTGGTATTAATTTGGGCTGTACCTGTATGTTCTGATGCATGCCTTACAGTGGTAAATCGCACCCATTTTAAATTAAGGAGGTTTGCCATTCGATATAGGAAATTAGAAATACTGCATAGGCAATCTCATAGTCAATTTTGAAGAAGCCCTGACTTAGTTTTTTTGAAGCCTTTGTATAATTTGTTCTTTTTTTTCAGAACACAGCGAATGTTTCCTAAATCCTTGCCTTTCACTTCCTCCGATTACAGGTGCTAACGTCATTTTGAGTCATTTAAAATAGTTTATAAACTGCTTTTTAATTTTTTTTTCCTGCCATTATAGACTTTAACATTAAACACTTATGACATTAAGAAAAAAGTACCATCCACACGTTTTGATAGTGTTTATTATCTATATATCTATATATCTATTATATGTTTGACAGTATTTTTTAATTTTGTTTTTCGTTTTTGTAACAATTGCTATTAAAACAGTAATGCAGTAAAAATAACGCAAGAGTTGTACTAACTGTGCAAATTGAATATGCAGTATTTCTTTAAAGAGACTGATTAAGAATGGAAGCAAGTCAGTAATGAACCTCCTTAATCTAATGGCATTTTTCATGGCTCCCACTAAGTCTTCTCACATTAGCATGCATACGCATTTTTTTTTTATTATTATTTTAGTTTTGGATTTTTTTTATTTTTTTTTTTTTCCTTTCTGCTCAAGCCTATTCATTGCAATTCACTAGCTGTACTAACTCAGCACCTTGCCATGCTTTACGTTTTATTTTCTGGCTGATACTAACATACTCATTCCGCAATCTGCTTATTCTTATCCATTCTTTTAAATACAAATTAATAAAAACAAATAAATTGAATGTTATTCCAAAAGCTGCATTATCCCAGGAGATATAATTTCCTTTTTTTTTTTTTCTCTTATTTTTATTTTGTGTCTGAGTTGAAGAAAAAAGCATGTTCAGGATCTAACTTCCATACTCAGCTTCTTTTCTTCCTTTCCCCCCCCTCTCAAAAAAGAGAATAAAAAAAACCCAGCCCAAATAAATCTTGCCTGAAACATCCTGCTAGACCAGCCACAATGACTTTCCTCTACCTGCTCTTTTAAAAGGGAAAGAAACAGTCCTTTATAAAGGGATACTGCAGCTTTAATTGCAACAGCTAATCTCAAGAGTTGAATAAAAATGTGATTATCACTATTTTTAACTTTTAAATCAAAAGTCAATATTTTGCAATTAATAACAAGGACATTGATTTTTATTCCCTTTTTTATTTTTATTTTTTCCTTATTTTTATCTTTCTCTTTTTTCTCCCCTTTTCTCTCTTCCTCTCTCTCTCTCTCTCTCTCTCTCCCCCCCTCTCCCCTTTTCTCTTTTTTTTCCTCTCTCCCTTTTCTGCTCGCTTTTCTTGAACTCATTCAGACCTGAGCGCTCCTAAGAAATGCCGAGCGCGCTTTGGCCTTGATCAACAGAATAACTGGTGCGGCCCCTGCAGGTGTGTATAGTTCTCCCAGACTCGCTATGGCTGATTTGCAGCTGGTTTATTTGGTACTTTCCCCTTTTTTTTCCTGCCTTGTTGCTTTGTAGCTCTGTGTTGTGATCTAGAAGACACAAGGGAGTGGGACACTGCCATGAGTTTATCGTCTCTCTGAAAGGGTTTTGCTTTTTTTTTATTTTTATTTTGTTGTTTTGTTTTGTTTCGTTGTTGGTTGTTTTTTTGCCTTCCTCTTTGCTGCTGCTCGCCAAAAACCCACTGTAAAACAGCATCAGCCTTAAGCCCATCTGGTCCGTGGCTCAACCACGCTCCTGCCCTCCAAGGAAGGTCCTTCCCAAAGCCTTTGCTAGCAGGGCGTTGAGCGCGGTGCCGACACCGGACAGACGCATGGCTGTGTCGGAGAGGTTTTTTTTCTGGTTTTCTTTTGGCTCATTGTGAAAAGTCCTGGTTTCTTTCCTGCCCTTGGTACGAGGGGAGATTACCAAATAAAACGGAGGTGATTGAAAGCTAAACGTAGCTGTAGCTAAGATGACGCAGACCAAATGAGCTCTATCCACCATTGTGTTGTATTTTTTGTGTTTACCTTATGCTAACAGATGCAAATACTCCAAAGAAGTGTCGGGCATTGTTCGGGCTTGACCGACAGAGTTTATGGTGCAAACCATGCAGGTATAATACTACCCATTAGGCCTTTGGGGAAATGAAAGCAATCTGTCCTCTTAGTGCATTTGTGTGATTTTATTTTTTTAATCTTTTTTCCCCCCCACTCCCCACCTTTCTCTCTCCCACAGCATCAATTGCTAATAATCTTTGATCTTTGGAATTTCTTGCTAATTTAATGCCATTTTCTCTCTTTCTTTACCAATAACCTCTCCCTGGTGGTAGAACTGGGAACAAGAAAACTTGAAGTCCTTAAAGCTGGCAGTTTTTTGGCTTTTTAAATATTTTTTTCCAGATTGTCAGCAAAATGAATGTTTAGCTGGACATCTATATTTTGTCTTTCATTTGGGTCTAAGTCTGCTGCCTCCAAAGGCTTTTTAAAATGTTCTGGGATCTGCAGCACTAGGTTTTTTTTCTCATGATTAGAGATGTAAAAGCCAGTGTTTACAGCTTATATTGTAATCATTTTTTTTGGTGTTATCTGCAAAATTAAATAGCTACCTGTAGGCTTCTATGCCTTGTTAAGGTTTATGTAGATACCAGTTTTTTAAATGATCTGATGTCTTTTTTTTTCTGATTCTGAAAATACAATTTTTGCTAAATTTTGTCCCAACAAGTGAGCTGTAAACACCTGAACTTTAGACAAAACTAATTGCAATTTTAGTAGGACAGTTTCCAGCATTAAAAGGAGACGAAAGACATCAGAGAGCCCAAATTTCAACAGCCCATGTTCTACTGGAGTTTAATTCCATGTATAACTCAGTACATACTTCTTTCTTGGTGGAGGGATACCGAGTAGTTCTTTTCTCATTCCTTTTTCCTTATATGATCGCATTTGGTTAAATTTGTTGTTTCTTTGTTCTGATACAAGCAGTCTTTGAATTTGGAATATTATGATGGTAGGTATTTCAACCCAAACCACACTCTGTGTGTAGTGATTCCTCTCCCACATTTTCCCCTCTTACTCATGCCAGTCCCATGTGCTCCATCTCATTTAGAATGTAGATCAGACGTCCATTGTATTTTGTGTATGCACGCAGTCTTGTTTGTGCTTAGTGTCGAGGAAAACACGCATCGAGGGCGGTGGTGTATGTCAAAATAACCAGATAAGGCACCAGAAATGTCTTCAACAGATGGCATATTGTCCCATTCGAGGCATGCTAGTACTGGGTGTCGGGGCCGTAGATATCATTACCAGTATGTATGTTAAATAGGCTTTGAAAGCAGCAGTTTCTTAAAGCTTAAGGGAGGGAGGGTTCAGTCCAGAAGAGCTGGGTAGCCACTTCACCATGTCAGGAGGCTCCAGTCTAGCCAAAGACTCGAACGCTGTGTTTAGTTAGGCTTAATTTCTGCAGTTGGTTCACTCTACGCTATCAGCAGATATTTGTGTAGTCTAGAGATAGAGTATTTGGAGCAGGTCAGGCTCTGTATGCCAAGTACCAGAACCGGGGGCACATCATGTTTTTGTTGCTTTATCTTTCCCTAGCTGCTTAAGTAAACAGCATACTTTTAAAACTACATTTTATCAGCAAGGGGACTTTTCGTCCTGTCTGTACAGTCCTTAGGTTACATGTGAAGCGTAAACCCTTTCTTAACTTATGCCAGATTTTGGTCAGAAATCTTTGCAGCTCATCAGAGACAACTTTCTGAGATCAGTTTTGAGCAGCGCAGTACCTGTCAGTGGGGTAGCTGATAGCTTTAGACTTACTGATACAGAGTCAGATGCTTTTTTGTTGTTTGGTTGGGTTTTTTTTAAATGCATGGAGGCATTTTATCACTAGGTAGAGTTTAGAGCATTTCTCTCCTAGTTCTGATCCTAACCGTTGTAACATTGCATTTGCCAGCATGGTAGCATTTTGTAGGTGCTAAAGATGTGCAGTTTGCTACTGCGATAGAAACTGAGACATCTTTGCTCCCAGGGACTGAATAAACCCCTGTCATCCTCTGGGGCTTTCACTCATGGCAACTGCAGCATTATGGGTTCTGATGCTGTCCTGCAGCTAGTTTCAAGGGCAGCATGAGCAGGGTGAAGTCTGTTGGTGTTTCCCAGAGTGATGTAGCAGTTGATGCTTTCAGAGTAGTGCACAAGTGAATAAATCTCAGTCGTGCTTCTGAGGGGGGATCCATAGTGGTTTTGTTCCCACTTTTAGGAGAGCAAAACTGAGGCACAAAGAGTTCCTCAGGTATTTATTTATTCCCCTTCACCAGATTTGCCTGGTATTGTTCAATTCTGGTAATACTTGGCTTGCAGAGTTTGGGGTTTTACCATCTCTGCCTTCTGTCCCAGCTAACCCTGCCACGTACAAGACCACAGATAACACATGGTGGGAATGGCACAGGCTGGAGAAATTAATATGATTTACGTAAATGGCTTTTCAGGCTAAAAGTGGCCACACTATTAATGTACAACAGAAGCAGAGGAAGCAATCTGCTCCCTTAATCCTAGTCAAAGGAAAATTGCTTCAGGTAGCAGACCAGTGGGTTTAATTTAACAGTGGGTTGTTAACTCTGCAGAGTCAGAAAGTCAGGTAGACCTGGTTTAAGTCTGCTTTGCCATGGGAACTCTTCCTTTCAGGCCACAGAACTTAAATAGTATTAAAAAAATAATTTTGAATTTTTGGCATACTAGATTCAAACTGCCTCCAGTGAAATAATTAACTGCCTTGTAGGTTCAGAGCAAAGCAGTGGAACGGCTTCTGGACCACCATCAATGAGGCAGGTAGAGCTTGGGTCTCTGCTTGCAAATTATTTTAATTTGGGGATGGTGGGGGAGCCCTGCAGTCTCCAAATTGTGAGAACCCACCTTTACATACAAGTATTACTGGTGAGCTTTTTGAAGCATCACTGTTCTGCCCTGCCGCTGGAGCTGTATAGAAGGTCCAAACATGAACTGTGGCCCTGGTAGCTTTGTAGAGCTGAAGCTAGGAAGGAAGTGGTGAGACAGAAGCAAGGGAAGGGGAGAAAGAGCAGGAGGCTTCCCATGTTGTTTGTTGATGGTAGAAGAGTTAACAGGTTCTGTTTTGAGCCCACCAAATTAATTTTTTTCTGTCTTTTAACGTTGCTCTAATAAAGCATGGTTTACAGCCTTCACTTGCTGTCTTCTATCTTTTCTTTCTTTCTTTCTTTCTTTTTAACATTTAAGTTGCATGGTTGTCTTTAGTTTTTTAGCATGTATTGATCTGCAGGCTAACGTGGTTAAAACTCTTAATAGCCCTAACCCTTTACCTTACCATGTGGAACGTGGAGCAGAGCCTGAGTCTCTGGAGGAAGGGATGTCACACCACTGGTCCCTCACTGCAGCTGGTGGAAAGATGGGGTGCTGGGATTGCTGTTCCCTTCCTGGCCCTGGGAGATGATATCTTTTAACTCGAGGATGAAGCTGGTTACCTCTCCCTTGCAGTCGAGAAACACCTAGCCCCATTGCCGAGAGAGCAGAACCTTGGTTTAACCCAAGCCAAAGGCAGTTACCATATATAGAGGAGAACATTGATGACCATTAGTGGAGCTGGGGCACCTGTGCGAGTGGGGAACATCACCCAGCAACATTCAGCTGCTGTGCCACGCTCAGGTGCTTCCTCTGATGAAGTTGCTGAGCTTGGGTGAGGTGTCCACTGGAGGGGCAGAGCAACCTACTCCTTCACATTGGTGGCTTTGTGCAGCTTAGTTGAGCGTTCAAAGTTTTTGTGGCAGAGCTGCTCTGGACGGACTTTGTCATAGACCTCGGGCTGTGTGACAGCGGTTCAGCACTTCCCATGGGAAGTGTGCTTGTGAACAGGAGGGCTGGAGAGCCATCATTATTGGGGTCAAGGTGGCCACTGAACATCGTTCTGCCAGATGCTGTGGTTGTTTGCCTCATTATTTCTGTCCTGCTGCTAGAATTGTCTTGCATATACTCGGCAAGAGAGATGGTGTGAAACTGTCATCTGTTTTCATTGCTCCTTTACATTATTAAGTGGACAGAGGGAGGAGAAAAGATCTCTGTCGGGTCACTTATTTATTTGAAAATGAGCGGCTCTTGCGAGACTCTCATGCTCCCTGGTGTGAAATAAGCTCCATGTTACTCCTCACCTTTGTACCTGTCGTCGTGCTCTTCACCTACTGCAATTGGATCCCACCCTGGAGTTACATGGATGGCCTCTCAGAGGAAAATTCCCCCAAAATGCATCCGAGCAGCTTCCCAAATCTATCACTCTCCCTTAAAACAAAAAGTAAAACTGAGTCGATTTAAAGCCACAACCTGCAGGCCATTCAACCAGTTATTCTTGTTATTTTGGATCATGCTCTGTTTATCCTGTTCTTTTCCTGGTTTTTCTTCTGTTTGCTTTGTTTGTTCGTTTTGTTTTTATTTCCCCTCTTTCTCGTTCTCTCTATTATATATCCCTCCTGTCTGACTCTTGACGTTTCTGGATTTGGTGTGGTTCTTAACAGAGGAGAAAGCAATGAGCAGTAGCGTGCAGTCGTCCTTGCCTCCCAAGGGCAGTGCATCGTAGGAGACGACAGGTGACACAGGTTTAGAGATAGCCCCATTGAGTTGGACAGCGTTATGGGACATCTTGAGATACCATCAACTATCCAAGAGCTTTTATTTTATAAGGATTAAACTTTTTTTTTTTTTTTTTGGCCCCCTTCCTTCCCTCCCTCATCCCCCCAGAGGAAAGTCAAGTTTGTAGATTAGCACAGTGGGCTCCAGAAAACTTCTTATCTGATTTTCTGATTATTAAAACACCTGAGGAAAGGAGGAGGTGTGAAGAGCAGGGGGACGAAGAGACAATTGGTGAATCCTTTCCAAATCTGTTAGCCGAGGGGAGGTTCCCCAGCAGGCTGGGTGCCAAGGACACCCCTCCAGACCCCCAGGATGGCACGTGGGGCCGGGCTGCCGCCCGCGCAGAGCCCAGAGTAGCTCCTTTGACGGCTCTTTGCTGTAGATAAAACTTGTCTCCCGTCGGCGTCTCTGCCCCTTACTCACAGACGACTCTCTCCCTGTTTCTAGGAGAAAAAAAAAGTGCGTTCGCTACATACAAGGTGAAGGCAGCTGCGTCAGCCCACCCTCTTCAGATGGAAGCTTACTAGACTCTCCTCCGTCCTCCCCCGCCATGCTCGCCTCCCCCTCCAGAGACTCCAAACCACAGACTGAACAAACGCAACCCCTCTCGCTCTCCTTGAAGCCCGACCCGCTGGCGCACCTGGTCATGATGCCGCCGCCATCCTCGCTCGTCCTCGCCGAGAGCGCTGCGAGCAAGCCCGGCGCCCTGCCTGCCGCCAGCTGCCCCAACGGGGCCCTGGACCACCCGCCGGCCGCCCTCCCGCCGGCCGCCGCATCCCTAGCACAGCCCTCCACCTCCTCCTTGCATTCCCACAGCTCGCTGGCGGGGACACAGCCCCAGCCGCTCTCCCTCGTAACCAAGTCCTTAGAATAGCTTTAGCCTCGTTAGCCCTTTCGGTTTCCTTCGGGGATGTTGAATTCTGTTGGGATTTGGGGTTGGGTTGGGTTGGTTTTTTTGTTTGTTTTTTGTTCCTTTTCTTTCAATTTTTATTTTTTTTCGCCTTCTCCTCCTTGTCGTCGTCCGCCGTTCGTCGTCGTTTCTCGGTTTTGTTTTTAATTCGTGCCACGTGGCTACATTAGTTGATGTTTTATCGAGTTCATTGGTCAATATTTGACCCATTCTTATTTCAATTTCTCCTTTTTAAATATGTAGATGAGAAAAGCCTCATGATTCTGCCAAAATTTTTATCAACAGCTGTTTAAAGTCTTTGTAGCGTTTAAAAAATATATATATATACATAATTGTTATGTAGTTCCAATAGCTTAGTTTTAAAGACTGATTTTAAAAATTACAAAAAAAAAAAAAAAAAAAAAAATTTTGAAGCAGCCCTTGCCGGAGGCATTGGTTCTTTATTATTTGTATTAAATACGAGCTTGCGAACCAATCATTTTACATCTGGTTTTTAAACCTTTAAGGGCACAACGAATGCGGTGCCGCTACTACTTCTTTTTTTTTTTTTCTTTCTTGTGTGAAACAACCTTTATTGTGATGTTACTTGTTATTGTTTAAATGTACAGAAACAAAGGGTTAAAAAAAATGTGTTAATATACCTTGTTCCATGGTGTTGTTCTTTTTGGGGGAGGGAACGCTACTCAACAATTAAAAGTATCACAACGCTATTGGACCAGTAGTATTTATTGCTTTAGAAATTGCTTGTTGTATCTGTATGTTGTCCCTTTTTAAATGTTTTTTTCCTCTTTTTTTCTTGAAACATTGTATAAAGGTTTTTTTTTTCCTTAGTGTAAGCATCTTATATATAACAACTCATTTGTACAAGGTTTTTAAGTTTATATATAAATGTGTATATATATATTTTTTCCGGGATTTTTGTTTTTGATTTCCTTTCGTGATTTATTTTTTTTTTTTTGCTATATGAAACACAGTTGCCACCAAATGGACATTCGCAGATGCATTTTTTCAAGGATCAATAGTGTAAAAAAAAAAATAAATAATTGCTTTAAAAGCCATTACACACAAAAAGACTTGAAAATTTAGCAAGGGAATTTTTAGCAACGCTGTTTGAAAAATAGCAAGGTCCAAGTGTCTCCCATTCAGAACTGCAGCTGAATCCCCTGCGACATTAGGACTGTAGGCTGTGTGCAAAATTTTTATGTGCCAAAATTCTCAGTGACTTTTAACTTTCTCCCGACAACTTTATTATTTTTTTTTTTTTTAATGCTGTAATTTTTTTGTTCATCATGTTTTGCTGTGATGTTACATAGGTAGATATGTATGTAGTTTTAATGTCACCTATAACAGACGTGTTTGGTAGCAGATTGTCCGGAAAGCATTTAAAATGAAGAGGTATAAACCCTTAAGGGCCAAATTCTGTATATTAGATTATTCATAAAAGGAAAATCAGACTGCCACTTTTATGTACACTTACTACATACAGGTAGGTAGCAAACTTAAAACAAAAAAAAAAAAACCTAGGCATGTTGATGTTGCAAAAAACGCTGTATAAAGCTGAAAAATTGTTCATCTGTTCATTCAGTGCCATTGTAGTTGACATGAAGCGATTGTAAAACTGTCTCAGATTTTTCTCTGGTTTATTAAGATGCTAACTATAACATTTTTTGTGAATACTTTGAATGTTTCCTAACAGTTGTGATGTTACTGTTCCGTTTTATGCTCTTATTCCGATTTTCATTTTTATTGGTTTGGAAGCCATTTTTTGTAATGAATAAATGTTCATGCTGTACAGTATCTGTAGCATGCAGTTCTGGATTAATAAAAGCAACTTAGTATGTGCAGAGAATGACTTGTCAACTCATTTATGCGTTGACTGCATTTTACTCTGGCCGAAAAGATTTACAGCCCGGGTGGAAAACGTCCTTGAAAAAAAATTTTGTGAAACTTGTAGTGACTTGCAGCCAGCTCTAGTTGTGAGAAATCCCCTATTTCATTTGGGTTCCCATGCTGCCGCCTGCTAAATTGGTTTTTCAGCAAGCTTTTGTTAAAATAGTTGAAAATCCTATTTATTTTTTAAAAAAAAAAAAAACAAATGGCATGTGATTTGGCAAAAGACAAATAGCACGTGAGCTACAGTAATGTTATCCCTCTGTGTGAAGTTATCTCAGCTGGGGGACAGGAGACCAGGGCTGATGATACCTTTAATTTTAAAACATTGTTGTTCAAGCTGGTGATCACACAACACAGGGCTGATGGACCACAAAGGTTGCACAGGAGAGCTTAGGTAGCCATGATTAGAGTCCTTGTGCTGCCCTGGATTTGATTGCCAGATTTGAGCCTGGGTTTGCACACACACACATACATATATATATATAAAAAAAAAAAAATAAAATATGTATTGTTATCTCAGTGAGCCCTTGCATCACAGCCTGCTCCCAGCACTGAGCATCCAGCATCCAACTGATGCAGCAATGCCCTTAAATACTTCGGGATGAGAGTGAACTTACGTGCAAGAACTTCTATTAAATGGTTGATTTGTTTGGCTTTTTTAAAATAAGTCGGGATTTAAGCTTCCTCATTTCCAGGAATCTCCCAGAAGTGGATGTCACCGTAGCCCCAGTCATGTTGGCACTCGAGGGCAACCAAATGCAAAGGTCTTGTTCCCCACCGCCGTGGCAGCGTATTGCTCAGGTAACGCACGTCTCTCCGGTCGTTCTTGATGGGCTCTGTGGGAAGGGTAAGTGTCCTGCCTCCTACGGGGAATGGGTGAGGTGACTTTCTGCAGAGACCTGGGAACGGGGCGATTTTGGGAAGCCCAACTCTGGTGCTGAGGCTGCTCTGTCCATCATTGAGGGGGTCAGATAGAAACAAGCGGTTGTCTCTTGGCTGCAGAAGGAATTTGCTTTGTAGAGGGGCTGGGAGGTACTGGGTGAAGTCCTAAATAGTGTTTAAACAGAATATATAGTACTTTAAATTGCTGCCACTTCTTTTAATGACTAGTTTACAAGCCAGAAGCCTATTTTTTTCTTTCAAACATGTTAATAAAGGGTGATATATGTGAGTATTGCTTCGTATTTCCTATTAGAAGGATTAAGTAACGGTGAATTTTTTACCAGGCTCCATTTATCTCCCTTGATCCGAGGCCTGATGCTGTTTCTGCCATGACAGTACCCTAGACTTTAGTGGAACCCTAGACTTTGGTGAAATGTGTGGGCAGCATGGGTGAGATGGGACTGCAGGATGGGGAAAAGGATGTTGCTACAAAGCCCTTGTGGAAGATGCCAAGTCTTGCTGTTGTTGGTAGCCAGCAAATTGAACGCGTTGCTCAAATTACTCTCCTGCTACTTAAGGTTTCTAGGGAATTTTTTTTTTTCTTTCTCCTAAACGTTTTGACTCTCGCTAGAGCATGGCCATCCATCAGCCAGACACATGTGCTGCACCTCTGCTGGGGATAACTGCTCTCTTCTAATGTAAAACATAGTGCTCCAGGGAGATCTTTGAATGCCATGATTCAAAGGAAGCACCATCAAGGTATGATTCATATATTCAGCAAAATAGCGTGTTCTTTTCTCGCCGCTTTATTAGCAAGCCTTTGGAAAGCAGAGTCCAAAAGCACTGTTCCTGGACAAATTGGTTTTCCTTCTGTGTGTGCGGTGAGAGAGGCACGTGTTCAACAGACAGGTTGAACAGAGCTCACGAGTGGTGGGTAACGTGTGCTGGGAACTCTTGTTTGCTGTGGAAAACAATTGTTTATTCCTGGGAAAGCAACTGGTTGCGTTTCCTGTAGATTGTGCCCTGGCTGTGTCTCTTGATGGGTTTGCCTACGGATTTGCTTCCAAATTCCCCTTGATCAGAGGGCCTGAGCTGGGTCAAGGCTCCTGGGAGAAAATTGCCATTATTTACAGGTACTGCCTTTGTGCCATGGAGTCACAGCCAAGGACCCCACCAGACCAGGTACAGGGGAAACATGGTGGGAAGACAGCCCTTCCCACACACTGTGGTGTAAAATGGGGTTGGCAGCTGGGTATGGAGCTATGGCCCGTTCACCCCAAGATCCACAAGCGAGGGCAACATCCAGAGCAGCGTGGTAACAAACTGCCACGCTCTGTCCTTGTAGGAGGCTGCCAGGGGACAGCGTGGGGCCCTACGCACAGTACGTAATTCACTGTAGCTATTGCTTCCATCTGTTTTTATGGGATAAGGCAAGGAAGCAAGTCAATGTATTGCGTGTTCGGGAGACATTTATTTTCCATTAGTTTTGTAAATCTCATTTTTCACTTAGTGTATGGAATTTTAAAAAGTTTAAGCAATTGCTGACTCAATAAAGCAGTGCCACATGGTTTTAAGCTTTGCTTAAAAGAAGGGAAAGGCAGGAAAAAAGAGCAATCTTGAGAGTCCTGTTCATTTCATTAGACCATAAAAAGATGTTAAGAGAATTCACAGTAAAATAGTTGCATGGGTCATTGCAACAATCATGAAATATAATAATAATAGAACGTGTGTGACTGTGCTGCCCAGCTATGTCTGTCATATACATAGGAATGCTTTACCACCTAAAACTGAGTAAAGATTTTGGATGCTGTTTTGGGAGAGATGCTCCAGCTGAAGACTAAATTGAGTACAAGACCAGTATTCAGCTTCAGTGCTCTTTGTTGGACAGGAAGGCTAAAGCTCTTGGATCCTTAAAACTATGAATATGCAAATATAGTCAGAGATTGTAACAATTGTTATGTTATAAAAAGGAGTAGACAGGTACCTTGGCATTCATTTTAAGATGTTCTTGGAAAACATCTTGAGACTTTTAAGGCAGATCAGCTACAACTGAAGGCATCCCAAAGGCCCATCATTGCCAATAATGTTACCAGCCCATTTTAAGGACTCCCTGAGGACAGGAGACTGCCAGCCCCTGAACTGATTTTCTTCAGGGATCAGCCCAAAATATTAATTAATGACTTGCATCCATAGTCTATGATTTGCTCTTTTTCTGAATTTGGAATTGCATTTTATTTTGGGTGGGGGGATATTAGCCTGGACCTCTAAGGCAGTGGAGATCATGAAGTCATGCTGTCTGTCCATCTGTTTGACCCTCTCCCGATAACTCTTGAATCCTCTGGCATTTTGAACCAGATTTGACAGCGGCAGTCAAACTCTCGGAGATGATAAAGTCCCTGTGAGTTCCAGGGAAATCTCTGCCGGCACTGAGAAGAGAGGCTTTCCAGATCCACCGCTGAAGAAAAGGCAGGGAGAGCTCAGCTGTTATCCATTCTCTCTGGCAGTGTCCAGATGGCCAATTATCACACGTCTACTTCTGGACCAGCATCTGCGCTCTCCTGCCCAGCTGGCAGGCCAAGAAGATTAGGTAGGAGACATGGAGAGCATTGGGGTGTTGGAGGGAACAAGGGACATGGGAAAGAGTTAAGGGTATAGGGAAAACTGGAAATATTGCAGCTGTAAGATGTGATATTATGTAAGATTGCAGCGGGGAAGCAAGGGGAGGGGAAGGATGATGGGGAGACACATCTGCAGGCCACCAGGCCTTGCTAATGTTACTGCTCACAGAGCAAAGCTGCCCATGAAAAGTGGACGCTGTGGTGTTAGCAGCTCCTTCTCTCATTCCTTTGACTTAGTTGCTTGCTCCAGCTCACCAAGAAGCAGCACAGCCCCGTTTGGGAGGTATGTGCTGGCAGGGGCTGCGGTGCCCTGGCCTGGCCACCCACCAGAGAGGTCTACAGGGTAGAAAAGGCTCAGGGTGTTTCCACAATCCTGTAGTGTGGAGCAGAGTTGGGTTTGCGTAGCAAGAAGGGTGATATTTTTTTTTCAAAAAAGAAGGAAGATTTTTATCTTATTTGCAAACACGACCATTTGTAGTAGCTGGTTCCCAGGCATTAGCAAACCCCCTGGTTTTAATCTTCCTCAGAATATGTCTCCTTTGCTCCCTTATTTTGTGTTCCCCTTTGAATACGCTGCTGGGGTATTTTTGGATCTAACTATATCATTTTAATCTGTTCCCTCCACCCTTTCTCAGCCCCCGCTGCCTCCCTGCCTGCTCCTCCTTCAAACTTATATAATGGCACATTATACAAAATAGCTAAGCAGGTGGTATTTTTAAAGACAGTGAGTGAGCATTTTTTTGGCCTAAATTTGGAACGAAACAGATGGATTTTAAGACTCTGCTTTTTCTATGAATAGTAACCGTTGTTCTCCACTGCCTTAAACACCAGTTTCAAGACCACCTCCAGCAACCAATCAGCACTCCGTTATTTAATTATAACAAAATTCTTAGCTCTGTCTGCTGCTGCATGGGCAAGTGGGGGGCACTGGATCAACTTCTGGAGCCAGGCAGACTTGCCAACAATAATTTTCCTTTTCCCAGAGGGCCGAGGGGGCCTGGAGCGGGTTCCAAGTTCCTCCTAAACTGGCTGTTCAGTTTGGGCTCCCTGACAGAGTGCTTGAAAAGGGTTATAGAAAGGCAGATAAATGCACTTCTTGTTGCAAGCTTCCCTGACAAGCCAGGCCTCCAGAACAGTGATCTCATTCCTGCCTCATTATTAGTGGTGCCAGATTTTTTCCATTAACAGGTAATTGAGTCGAAACTAAAATAAGCAAAGTTTGTTTTATCCAATGTATTTTCTTGCTTGCTTGTGAAAGAAAAACACTTTAGAGAGGGGTTTGCTTTTAATGTTCGTGGAAATGTATTTACATCTTAGAGATTCCTCTCTGCTCTAGTGTAATTAACCTGACTGGTCTTTTTGTTATTGTTGTTTTGATTTTTAAAGCAAAGGCATTGGTGAGGCTTAATTCTTTTTTTTTTTTTTTTTTTTTTGTCTTGTTCCTCCCTGTTAC